AATATTCAATACAAGACGATGTCGAACACGTCGTAATATCTAAATAATTAATGTTCACAATAATGTTTCGAGTATGTAAAAGATGATTAAAATTTGGAAACAAGAGATTACTTTAGATTAGAAATTATAGATATTTTAAAAATTAATTGAAACGGGATGCTAATAACATAAGTACTCGCAATGTACAATGGTAATGAAATTCAGAGAATTTCGTTTCGTTTACCTATTTAAGGAAAAGATAAAAAAAAAGTCCGCCCAGCATTTGGCATTAATATTTATTTAAATTATCATAACTATTCGACTCGACGTATCTGTACAAAATCCGTGATATCCTAATAATTAAGCAATATCATTGGTCCAAATAAACCCCAAATAACAAAGGTTTCTTTTCTTCAAAAAAAATTGCAAAAATTTCTCAATGTAATTACATTTATTTTTTAGATACAGCAGTGTGAAGCACCTTAAGAAGGGAAGAACACGATATACACATATTGGCAAGCATGCGAAAGACGAGCGAGGCAGAGAGAGAGAGAGAGAGAGAAAGAGAGAGAGAGAGAGAGTGAGAGTGAGAGTGAGAGAGGGAGAGTGACTATATGCGGGGAAAGGGATGGAATAGCAAGGAGCAGAGAGAGTTGATGGTGAAGAGGTGGAGGGCCAGTCGGGACAGGAGGAAAAAAAGAGTGTAAGAGAGAAAGCTCGTGGAGAAAGGGGCGGCTGGGGCGCTTTCCTATGACCAATAAGAGGCACTTTAAAACACCTTTCGCGCGACCCCCTCCCTGTACGTGGCACGAGACGACTTCGCTCCAGTCTTGCGCATTCCTCCCCGGATTCAAATACCCGTGGGTTGGCTCGCCCGCGCCCCTCTGCATGAAAATATGATAGCGTATGAGCGATAGGGAGATGCGCGCCTCGAGCTCTTGAGAAAGGGACGAGAGACGGAGATGGAGTTAGCGCCGATAGAGGGAGAGTGATCGTCTGATGGAGTGAGAGCGAGCGAGAGGACGGGAGGGAGCGCGCCCTTGGTGGAGCACCCCGGGGGAGAGGGAGGGATTGGTAGAAGGGGGTAGGGAGGTAAAAGCGAGGAAAGCTCGAGCCGTCGGGGTGATACTACAGAGGGGTTGCGATAGCGCCGCGCCTTTCTTCGTGACCAATAACGCGAGGCTTTAAAGCGGCCGGAGTAGCGCGAGGGCGTTGCGCTCACCTCGCATTCAAATAGCGGAATACGGGGCATCGGCGAATCGCCGCCGTATGGTAATATGCGGGTGGGGGGAGCGGGCGGGCAAAAAAAATGTGCCCGGTGCAGTGGGTGGGGAGGGAGGGAGGGGGGGCTCGGCTGCTCTCGGGCGCACCCCTTATCTTGTAGGTCGTTGAAAGTCGAGACTGGGATACGATGTACCTGACGCTGAGCTTTCCCTCTTGTCGTTTTACGCCGCCTCTCGACCGGCGATCGACCGTTACTGAATTTAAAATCAACCGGCCATTACTGCGTAAAATTACTTTACTTAACCTTTCGCTTTTCTTTAGCATTCCTCGTCGAGGATTATTTTCTCTATGGATTATGGAAACCGTATGGAATCTTGTGCATTGTTAAACTATTCATCGGATAGATAGGATGAGTAGGCGTCAATGCGCTATAATTATGCCCTAAGCAGCCATTAAAGGTATCATTAAGATCTGAATAACCAATTTGTCGATTTATGATTAATACTAGACGATAAATCAGGTAATTTATTCGTTAAAAGGGCAAGTTAAACAACCACCTGTAAACACTTTGAATCTCGGTACGAATATTTTACTTGACTCGTGTGGCATATTTTTTATGAAAGGGCACGCTGCGATGGTGGCTTTTAGCATTGGGAAACAAAGGGTTAAAGGGGAAAATTTGCGCGGCTCTGGCGTAACGAGAACAGGAGCGAATGTGTAAAAAAAGACTGTTTCGTCTAGGTTAGAAGGTTAGACTTGGAGCATTTTCGGCAGTAAAAATATCTCGATATTGTCTATTCGAGAGCTATCGAATGACCAATATACTTTGTCTCTCACTCTCTCTCTCTCTCTCTCTCTCTCTCTCTCTCTCTCTCTTCCTTTGAGCCGAGTACACACAGCTTAAGGTGTACGTTGTGAAGAATTTTCCGATCTCTCGCATGGGTGGTCGGCTCGATAAAGGGAGAGAGCTCCGAGTGCCAGCACCCCTAGCTAATTCCATTGACTCTATCTTTTCCGTATCAGCTCGGAGTCAGGCACAGAGAGCATGACATCGGCAAGAGTCTCCATCCTCCACATCCATCTCCCGTGCAGCGTCGACAACCGGGAAAAGCGTATGCGCCGCGGCCACGTGGAGCGTGTTCACTATATTTTTTTTTCAGCTGCGTGAATCATCGTCGTTCCGCTTCGTCGATCATCGTCGCTTATTTTGCCACTTCCCTCGGGCATTAAACCCTTTCGCATGCTCAAGCGACACCATCGATCATAATGTGCGAGATCGCTAAATTCGACAAAGGGAAGGCCTTAATTATTGGGAAATGTGGAGAATGAGAGCAGATCGATTTCCAACGATGGATGGATGTGTTTTAGAAGGGAAATTTAAAACGTTGTTATTCGATATGCCTTCAACTGTAATTTGACGAAGTTTATTTGTGGCCAATACTTATATTTATGGCTACGTACGATTATTGCATCGAGCTTGTAAGAATATCCACTACATAGCCGTATACGAGTGAAAATCATTACTTTAATGTTTTTGTGTATCGCGATGGCTGGGAGGAGAAAGTCTTACTAGCAGCCATAAACTTTTACCGCTGGAAAATACATTTATTTATTAAATAGTGGAAATAATCGATATAATGTATTATACCTGCATACATACACACCCACATAAATGAATGCGTACTTACGTACCAAACTTTTCATATGTAGTACAAAATTTTATTTTCGTTCCTTAGCTTTTTTTCTTTTTTTTTTCTTTTTTTTTTGCCATTATAGAAATTTTGTTAACAACCATTGTAAATTTAATCGATCGTTCATTACTTCGTTAGGTACTATCATTGTCACTCTAATTGTCTTTATATAACCCCCCCCCCCCTCCCCACTTCCCCTCTTCCCATAAAGATGTATTATCATGAATTTCATTTAATAATTATGATATTAGATTACCATCAATAATATACGTCCCTTAGCACCGGACATATAATATCCACGGCCCTGTTCAATCGAGAATCATCAAGAAATCATCGACAATCAAATTGTTTCCATGGCACACGAGAGCTGCTCGTTTAATACGCCGATCGATCCAACATCCCCAGGTCCAGGTTTTTATCAACGATATGTAAATAAACAACCCTCTCCCTTTAAATACGAGTGCCGCGAATCCACCACCAACTTTCAACTTCCATGCCACTCTGTCGCTCCTTCTCTATCACTCAGCACCGCGAAGAAATAAGCAGGATTCGCGATTTGCTTCGCGCTCGCACACCGTGGGCGTGACCGGCGATCTCGCGGTCCGCGACCATTGGCCCCGCACTTCCCCACCGACGCACGCGCTCTACCCCCACCAGAGCGACACAAGGCAGAATGCGCGCGGGTGCCCTCGTCGCGCCGCCGAGTCCACCGGCTCGTTCGCTGTCTTTCTCTCTCTCTCTCTCTCTCTCTCTCTCTCTCTCTCTCTCTCGCTACCTTCGATAGCGGCGACCCGCACTAGGCTCCCTTCTCTTTCCCACCAGGGCAGTTCGATAGTGCGACCGCTTCCCTCTCTGTCGCGCAACCGCGCGCGCGCGCTCGCGCGCCCGTGCCGTGCCGTCTCGACTCCCCCACCTCGGCCATACACCGTGTAAGAGAGAGAGAGAGAGAGAGAGAGAGAGAGAGAGAGAGCGCGCACGAGCAAGAGAGTGAGAGCTGAGCTCGAGCTGCCGACGTCCGTGTGCGCCTCGGCCGGCTTAGTGCCTCTAGTGTAGCTGCACACATGCACGCGACAGCATCTACTAACCGCCTTTGCCGTCGCCGCCGCCGTCGCCGCCGCCGCCGTCGTCGTCACCCCGTGCTCGTCGTTGTTGCTCTCTCCCATTCGCACTTCCGTTAACGATACAAGCGGACCATCCCCGACGTGCTCGAAGAAACGCGTTGCGCGACGCGGACACGCAGTGCCGAGCCTCGTTCCCGTACCGTCCCGTATGCGCCCTGAACGGCCGAAGGAGCGCGAGGGGTATTGTGCCGTTGACAGCGAGGCTGCTAACTCCGGCGTTCATTGATACTGAAAGTGACATTGGCCTCCCGAACGGGAACCGGAGAGCCTACGAGTGTGCAAGTGCGCGTGATCGACAGCCGAGGGGGAATCCCGAGGCCGTGGCACACACGGGCATGGATGGCGACAGGTGCGCGGGACACTCGAGCCTAGACTGGTGAACGCGCCACGCAAGTGCGCGGGACGCTGGTTCTCGCTGGCGAACGGCTACCCTCGTGTCCGTGAGCGCGCCTGCAGTGATGCCGACTGCCTCGTCGCGGCGCAGGACCTCAGGACAACGAGCTCGCGGATTACGTATTACCGACCTGTGACACTTATGAGCGCGAGGTGACGCGGGGTGAGCCCAGTGCTTCGGCCGAGACTCGCGCGGTCAAGAGGTGATCATCGACCATCCAGGAGACGAGCCCGAAGCGACGCCGAGCCAGGAGCGTACCGAGGAGTCCGGGGCGACCTCGCGCTCTCCGTAGCCCAGTCACGTTGGATTTCGCGGCGTTGGGCGTCTTCGGGGGTAGCGGCGGCCCAACGGTAACCAAAGTCGCCGCGGTGGCGGGCACCGGGGTGCTGGCGTTGCCCGGCTCGCTGAACGAGAAGGGCGGCCTGGCGCTCCTAGAGCACCACAGGCACCTTCATCATCAGCATCAGCATCAGCATCAGCATCAGCATCAGCATCAGCAGCATCATCAGCAGCAGCAGCAGCAGCAGCAGCAGCAATAGCAACAGCAGCAACAGCAACAGCAACAACAACAACAACATCAGCATCAGCAAGAATCACAGCAACAGCCGCAGCAACAGCAACTACATCAGCAGCAGCAACAGCAGCAGCACCAACTCCACCAACATCATCAGCATCTCCTGCAGCAGCATCACCAGCTCGGTTTGGCGGCAGTCACAGCAGCCAAGACGAAGACCGCAGGGTTGGCGGGCCTTGATAGCGAGGCGGTGCGCCGCTGGGTCGCGGAAGCCGCGCGTACCGTCCGCCAGTGTCCACCGCCTCCCTTGATCGTGCCCTTGGTTCCGAATTCTCAGAGCCAGCACGTTACCTCGTCCAGTCAGTTTGGAATCCATCGAGCCCAACCGGCGCTCAGCGGTGCGACAACACATCATCAGCAGCGACGTGTCCAGCGTAGACTCTCGGACCCTAGTCCATCGCCTCCGCCGCTACCGTTCGCCCTGACAGCGTCGATGACGCAAACACCGAGCATGCATCTCCTTGCGAGCAGCAACAATCTCGCCGAGGCAATGGCCGCTCATCAGCAGCAACAGCAACAGCAGCATCAACAACAGCAACAACAGCAGCAGCAGCAACAGCAGCAACAGCACCATCACCATCATCACCACCACCATCAACAGCAGCAGCAGCAGCAGCAGCAGCAGCAGCAGCAGCAGCAGCAGCAGCAGCAGCAGCAGCAGCAGCAGCAGCAGCAGCAGCAGCAGCAGCAGCAGCAGCAGCAGCAGCAGCAGCAGCAGCAGCAGCAGCAGCAGCAGCAGCAGCAACAGCCACATCAGCAGACGCAGCAGCAACAGCAACAGCACGTATTCCAAAAACAAAAGCAAACGAGCCCTACGAACAATAACACCATCGAGGTTTGGAGATCGATTCAAGGTGGAGGGCATCAGTGGTGGAGTCCGTCAACCGGCGCTATCAATCAGCAATCGGACCAGCAACAAATAACTTCGATAGTGCTTCCGAACGCGATTGGACAGACGGCCGCTCAGAGTCTATCCAGTTCCTTGTGCCGATTGCAGAGGCAGCAACAGCAGCAACAGCAGCAACAGCAACAACAGCAACAACAGCAACAGCAGCAACAGCAGCAGCCGCAACAGCAGCAGCAGCCGCAACAGCAGCAGCAGCAGCAGCAGCAGCAGCAGCAGCAAACAGTCGCGGTGACTCAGCAGCAAAGCTCAAGTCAGTCGGATATCGATCAGCCGCTCGACTTCTCCGTCGGCTCGCTCCAGCAGCAGAGGCTCCAAGCCAGGGCCAAAACCGTGCAAGAAAGGCTCCAGGCCCGAGCCCATCAACAAGATAATAATAATGGCGCGAACAGTGTGCTGGCTAAAATAGCCAAGGTGGCAGGCAACAGAAGGAGTTATAGCCCCAGCGAGGGAAGTTCCAGCGGCAGTGAGGACGAAGGCGTCTCCACCGGTGGCAGTCCCAGCGGTCCTCTTCGAGGACTCGAGAACGGTGAGTAAACTTGAATAAACTTTTTATATACTCCACAGTACTTGATACACGCGTGAATTATCGAGGACAATGAGTCGAGTATGAGTCGTATATGATTATGTGCGCGCATCCTATTATTTATAGGCTTATTATTTAAAAATCGCGTTTCATCGAACGATAATTAATAGGCATTTGCCCGTGCGATTATTATTAATAGTCGATCATTATTATTCGTGCGGCAGATTTGTCAAAGTATTATAAAAGTCATTTGCCGATGGCTAAAATAGTTGATGCCGCAGGTAAATAATGTAATTTAATGAGTTGACAAAGTCACTACCACACTGCTGTGATGCAGATTCAAACGTGAACATTCATTGGATAGAAACTTTAGAGCAGCCGTTTCTATTTTAGATTGGAGGATATTTGTTTTATATTTGCCGTTTGGAACAACTTGACCGTTAATAGTAGAAAACATTAATTATAAAAATCATAAGTTTTACAACCCTTTTTTCCACGTTATTTTATCGACGATTTATATGCGCTTGCGATTACATGACACGCGCGACACACGAGACACAAGCAAGCAAGCAAGCGCGCGCGCGCACATACGCATTATTGTTTGTCGATAATTAGAGGATGCTTGAACGACATTTAAATTCGTAAATGATAAATAATAGGTAAGTTGCGATTCGCCGAATACAATTAGTTAATAAGTTATCCAATATCTCCAATATCATTATTTGTCATTTTGGCAACTGTCAGATGTTTTTCTTTTAATAGTCCGGGGGCCCATATTCTAGGTAACGTGTTATTGTGTATCTCGTATTATTATGTATCGCTTTGTGATCATACAAGACTAACCTGATCGGTAATCATGTGACAATGTTTACTCAAACCAGTCGGCAGTGAATTTCCCTTTTTTCTAAAAGAACCTCTACTCTAGTCGTATACAATACGGCATTGCTGCGATTTTATACGAAAGATTTCAAAGATTTACGACAATATAAAGGCTACAAAATTCATAGCACAAACCGATCCAAAAATCCACGATCTTGTTGATTAATACCGGACCATTAAAAAAAGCTCCACACCTTTTGTCAACAAACCCCCTAAACGATACCAAAGCTGTTTTTAAACGACCTATTCATCGAATCTAATAATACCTATTTAAAAAACATAAAAAAAAAAAAGAAAAAAAAAAGAAAAAAAAAGAAAACCATTCGCATTTGCATAATTGTATACAAGGTGTATGAATTTGATAACGATATTAAAGGACGTTGATTAATAAATTATCTTATTTCAATGTGCGTAAGCACGCCAGCTATTTATAAATGCTTATATAAATTAAATTTCATGCTTACGGTCATTTATTGTTTCTCGCTATTATGCGCACAAAGGTGGCGCGCATACAACATTATGCTTTCTAATAATATATTTCGAGTACTTTTAAAATATTTAATAATACCCAAGTCAATATTTGCATGTAGATGTAGATTCGTCCACAGATTTTCGTATTACAGAATTAAAAATAGCTACAAGCTAATATAATGCCGCGACATTATCATTAATACAAGAAATCATTAGAAACGCATTATTGATTTTATCGCTTTTGAGCATTGAAAGTAGTTATCTCAAATTTTTATAATAGATAAGCACTCGGTATCTTTTTATCTTTTAACATAATTGTAAAATTTTATTAGCTGTGAAACGATGATTAAACCGTGTAATGATAATTTCATTGCTATCCAATCGAGTGGGCGCAAAAAATTCAGAAAATTTAGCCCTAATTGTATTCAGCTTGCGATAATGCCGATATTTCGTTTCAAAAGCCACATCACGTATCGCTAATTTTTACATCAAAGCTCTTATCCAACTTTTTCCCCTATAAATATAATAATTTATGTAATTCGTAGGCTTTCCATCTTAATGATAATTTTATTATTCCCGTGCATGTTTGGAGAAATAATCAGCGACACCTGGTCCCAATATTCTTTTCTGACGACCGTCCGATTATAGCGATCGTCACTATCTAACGAATGACTTAATCAATCCGAAAACGAAGCCTTGTCGTCGCCAACTTCCCCTAAACTCTCGTAAATCTCAGCGAATCCAATTGTGCACAATTCTTTGTCGTTGGAAAAAGATTTATCCTCCAAAGAGTCTATTTCAGATCATTTCAAGAGAATAAACAAAGAATTGTGATGTTAACGGATTAAATACCTTATTCCATATTATCTCATCGTTTGAAATATTTGCATTGAATCAAATTGAATGGGATGCAAAAAAATTCTCGATATCCATAGTTTTTCTTCATAAGCGAAATTTATAAGAGAAATTCTAGCGAAACTCTTATGTAAGCAATTTCACGTGAAATATGGTAATGGTTTAATAATATGAATAAGGGCTTATTATGCAACTAATTAGATGCGCTTATAATACTACTTAGATTTTATATGCTTTTTGTATATCGAAGCCAGAAATTATTGGAACATTGATTAGGTCTTACGAATCGATTCAACTGATATAAAAAAATTTTTTTTTTTTTTTTTTTTTTTTTTTTTTAGTTTTTTTTTGCGTTTATCATTACAATAGGCAAGTAAGTACACCAACATTTACACCCTAGCAAACATCACAGTTTATTTTGCTCAAAAGAATTTTATAATGTCCAATGCTTCCCAACGTAAGACGCATTACGGCGTATTATTATTATCACGATTAATAGAACATTATGGCGTGTAATTATCACAAGAGAAATCAAAAATAATTATTCAATTAATTACGATAGATTTCAGTTTAAGTTCGCTACTTGCGCGATAAGTCGGTTCGTGACCAATCTCGTGACGACTTGTCGCAATAATCCGAATTCAGCGGAGACGACACGTGTACGCGGCCACCGATCCGCTATTCCTAGTCGAAATTAATAGTGAGGAAACATGGAAAAGACGATGGCTACCAGCGTGCGCTCGTGTAGTAATATACGATAAATAATCAACGGTCTATAACGAATAAACAACGCGACCGTAAATAATAAATAAATTGTACGATAATGAACGATAAATGACAATGACAATGACGACGACGACGACGACGACGACGACGACGACAACGACGACAACCACGACAACCACGACAACCACGACAACCACGACAACCACGACAACCACGACAACGACGACCATCATGATGATAATGTTAATGATAATGATAATGATAATGATGGCTATTAGTCGGTCAGTCCGCACTTTCGCACAGTCGAAATCGCGATCCCTGCTTTCGCTTTTCGCGCCGAAGCCACTAGCCTACGACTTACGACGTCCTTCGTCGGGGTCCGCTCTGTTATTACTGCGATTAAGCCCAGGATATTATTTGTGCGCGAGCAGCACTCGAACGCCGCGCAGCCGGAATCGTGAATACATTTCCTCAACCCCCGGCGCCTCCAGGGTGTGCGAACGACGTGCCCCAGCCGCATTTTAGGTAAATTGCCTTATGGCCCACTCCGCGCGAGGGTCAGGACTTGCGTGCTTATTGTCAGCGACATTTCGTCGTTTGTCGCCACGAGGTTGGGCTGGCGGGTCCGTGCGCGTAATGCTTTATCCACGCGAACTTCCTACGCATTATTTCGAAAACTACTATGTCGTCCGGAAAAGAAATTACTCGCCGATGGCCGAACTGACGTGCAATTGTTGCGAGCACTAGTAAATTGCCTAACTTTGCATATCTCGTTCGAAAAGTTATTGTTGCAGGCACGGCGGAGAGTCTTATCAGAGCCACTATTTAGAGAATTCGAAAAAAAAAAACAAACAAACAAACAAAACATAAACAAATATAAGTACACAAATATAAATGCCAAATACCAGTAAAATCCTCAATTTGCGTATAATTTTATCACATTGACATTATTACTTTCATGTTATATTTAATATGCGAGGAGATATATGTTCAAACTGTATGTAATTATAGGCCAATTTTTGTCATCAATAGGTAATGTGCTGATAAAGATAATGGAATTTTGTCAATATAACATATGATAAACAATACAAGATTATCATAGATAGAACAATCATGGATTAAGTTATTATTCTAAAACTGGAAAGTTTTATATTCCGATAAATATGGCAATAATCTAATATCGACCCTTTCGTTAAATAAATTGTCAATTTATACGAAAGCACTTAGAGTAGGCATAGCCTGGAAAAAAAAAAAAAAAAAAAAAAAAAAAAAAAAAAAATAAAAAACGTTATCTATTCATTAAATGTAATAGTTTTTTAAGAGCGCGTATCAGCTTTAGTAATGCTTTAATCTGTATACAATTTGAAACTATGATAAGGAAAAGCCTAAATTATATGTGAGACGAAGAGAAAGATCACGAAGTCGAATATATTTAACGCGTAATTTTTAGATCTAAGCTCAAGACTTTTAATCACTTATTTATTCCCTTATCATTACAATGCAATCTAACAATGTGTCTTTTTATAAATTCGCTGCTAAAAAAAAAACTTGTCTTAAAAAACATGAAGTATTTAAATTGAAAAAAAAAAGGAATCATTCGTGCAGTATTTTTGTTGAGATTGACTTTGTATTTATAAAGCCGCCTTGATGAAAGTTCCTGTTATCTGAATTTCAGTACAACTACATAAATTGTCTAAGTAGCATCAATTTATTAAATTATATATACATATAGTCAATTTACAAATTAAAATTACTAATATAAATCGTTTTTAATTAATGAAATATGCAAATAGTTTTATTAGAATTCTCTATTGATAACTGTGCCATTGATAACATACTTGAAATGAATCATTAGAAAAAATTTCAATAATTCATAATCTCTAATACAATTGTTGATTATTAGTATAATATTAATTTTTTTTTTATTATTATTTACTGTACATTTAATCATTATAGTCAATTCAAGAGGTTTATTGAAAAAAAAATTATGTTTGTTTATAACGTGGCTGTTATATATATTTTTGTTTACTTCAAATCAATTAAAAAAATTTATTATTTAATATTTCATTAAC